CATTAATGTCCCAGGCTGGCAAACTGTCCAGGAGGGCAGGGCTTCAGTGTTGTCTCACAGGGAGGTCCAGGAAGGGTGTGACCCTATAAGCTGGAGCTTCTGCTCCCTGTGAGTAGCAGGCACGCCATCTGCTGCCCTGATTTTTGCAGCTGGCTAACTGGTTAGACCACAAACATGCACACACACCTCCAAAGGACCAACACAAATACTCAGTCTAAACCCACGACGAGGAAGAAAATATTTTTCTAATGTTCATTCAGACTTCTCAGGAAGCTTCCCTCTCCTTGGCCAGCAAATCACAAGACTGTGGGGAGACATATTTGTTTTCTTTCATCCCTTCTGCTGGCCCCTCCCTAATTGCATCCTTTCAGACTCCCAGGAACAAGAAAAAAGCCTAATGTAGGTTCATAAACCTCTTATTGTCTCTTCCAGGAAGGGGACAAGGTCAGACCTTCTGCTGTCCCAGTCACCCTTTGTCAAAGAAGGCCGAATTGAGGGAAGAGGTGCTGGAGAATAATACCTACATGGTCATCTGGCCTACATGGTCACCAAGTAAAACCCCTGTGGTTCAACACACAGAAAACCAAGAAGCTACTTTGCTACGTACTCTCCTATATTCTCCAGATTCTAAGTCAAGGCTATTTAATAAGCACAAATATGGACAACACTTTTTTTAAATGGACCGATTCCCTTCCCACTCACATATATCTCTCCGCCAAAGAAAACCAATACTGGGGATACTTGAAGTTCTGGACCGACAGTTATTACATGATGTAGAACTACAGTTCTCAAATACAGTGTCTGGAATCCCCTTCAGGGCTTGCTAAAATTGCTGCCCCATAGACCATTCTATCCAGGAGGTCTGTAATGTGTTCCTCATCCCGTGGAGGGTTCTGAAGCCAGTGGTCAGTCCCCTCCATAAGTTAGCTGTAGGAGCTCTGGGAAGACAATGGGAACTGGTAGAACCATAAAAATTATGTTCATTCCTAAAGGGTTAATCTGCTTTCCAGAGGTGCCATACTTTCAACAGAAAAAAAATAAACAAAATCTATTCTAAGGACTAACTATATAATTAGAGGATTATAACAACCCCAGGGAAGGAAACACAATGATAGAGAACAATGGAATTTGTGGATTAATTAGCAATACAATGCTGAGCTTTCAGCAGTTACAGACTGATAATACAAGAAAATCAGATTGGCTCACAAAACGCTTCCTGATTTCCGAAGCAGGTAAAAAAATTCACTGGGTTTAAGGTCAAATTTGAATCTTGCTTATATTGCTCAAAAAACATAACCATTCAGCAGGTTGTATGTGATGTGACTTTGTTCTGGTACTTTTTCTTTGCATTCCATTTACAATTTCAGGAAGAATTTTAAAAATTAATGAACTTTAAATATCGCAAGGGTACAAACGTCTATCATTCATTTGTTAAGTAAAATGTTACTAAAAACTGAACATAAGGATACAAAGATGGTTGAGACAAGCCCTTGCTGTCACATCGCCTACAATGTAGTGGAGAAGTTGAAAAAATAATAATAAATCAAGGTTAGTATCAAAAATGAAGACAAAGTATATGATACAGGTGAAGTATTCAGGATGAAGTCATCTTGTGGAGGTCACAGGGGAGTCAGCCTGAACTGGACCTTGAAGGCTTAACAGTTGCCAAGGGGTGAACAAGAGGAAAGAAGAAACAAAAGTACTAAAAGAACATGGAGGCAGGAATTCCCATAGCAAATAGGTTGCATCCACTAGGATATGGGACATGAGGAGACACTGGCTGGAGACTAATCTGGAGAGGGGAAACAGGGGCCAGTTCATGCTTAAAACTTTATCCTGAAGGCACTATGAATCAATTTAAGATTTTTAGCAGATATGCTGAAATATAATTTGCTTAAAAGGAAAAGTCTGAGGAGGCAAGAAGGCTAGATTGGAGGCAACACAGAGAGAGAGAACCCATTTAGAAGGGATGATGGACCCGAGAAGGCAATGCAGGTGGAGGGTCTGTATTCAGAGATGTCTAAGGGCAGTGACTCACTGGATGACAGAGGAAAGGCAGATGGATGAATCTAGGATAGCATTCATTTTTATGGGGCACACACCAGTAGCCAAGTTAGGACATTTAAGTAGAAGAATAACTACAGCTCATAAGTTCTGTTTTGAGACATATTTGGCTCAAGTTTCCCGAGGGTCATAGCAATTAAGATTGGTAGATGACATATAAAGGTCTGAACGCAGGGAGATTTGGAGAGGAATATAATGTTAGGAGTAAAGATAATATTCAAAATATTAATAACCAGTAGAGACAAATAGTGAGGCATAGATACTGACCAATCAGAGCAGGTACCTGATGGACCAGAAACAATTGGACAATCAACAGCTACCATGGCCCTATATGCACACACCAACTGAATACCACCTTGGCACTGACAGTCATAGCACTGGATGAGCACCCTTAGGGAGAGCCGAAGAGAAGAGGGCATAGGACAGAAAACTTACAATGGAGTGGTCCAAAGGAAAAGAACCTGGAGAAAGAAGAGGAGAAGGAACAGTCAGAAAAGTATTAAAACCAAAAAAGGTTTGTGTCATGGAAGACTGGGGACCAGGAAGCTTCATTTGTTCCCCCATCTGAATAGCAGTATGGACTGTTAAAGAGATGTCCTACCCATCTTTCCCCCAACCAGACTATTTGTGGTGTGGATGTCTATAGGGATCAACAGCAGTGCTCAGAAGGTACCAGCAACAATGGAGTCTCAAAGTTCAGGGATAAGGGTGACCTGAGCACAAGTTAGAGTCTAGGGGGAGACAGTGAGGTTCTTCCTAGGAGTGACCTTCCACCTAAAGACGGTGCCTCCCATCAGGCCAAAGCTGAACCAGAGCTGGATGAGAGGGAAAGGTTGAGATGAAGCCAACCCTTAGTGAGGGTATTTCCCACTCTCAAACCAAACATCACCTGCCTATCTTTCTCCTCCTCAGATAGAAAACAGAAAACAGAAAAGTATCCCACTCCCCCACCTGGCCTTACTGCAAGGCTGTCTCTGGGTTCTTGAGTTTATTCACCACAAGCCTGTAAAATCTCTTCCCTCTTATCCCTCTGCACTTCAGTGTTCTCTTCTGCAACGGAGGATTCAGAGCAAGTTTCCCACACTTGCCTCAAGCCTATCTAAGACAGCAAGAGAGTATTCTACAGATTCTCTGAGACTTTGAAAAGAGGTGGGCAGGAGCCTCCGAGAAAAAAAACAATCCCCCAGGGGGGGGGGGGGATATAATCCTGCGGAATTATTTGAAAGTGAGGACAAACATTTAATCTTTGATAAAACAAGTGAGAATTTAGGGTTCTACTACAAATGTAAAGAGTTCTTATTAAATACTTGAAAAAAGGTTTACACTTCTCTAAAGAAAGGTGGGTTGAAAAGTTCTTAGAGCTAAAATATGTGATTATTGGAGATGCCATAAAGCTAATGTTAAAATATGATTTCTAATTTCAATCTTTTAGGGAAAAATCAGGCTTTGAGTCACTTATAAGCCAGATCCCACGCACCCTGCCCCCGCCTCCCAATTCAGCCTGGGTAGGGGCGACGTGTCCAGGTGTCAAGGCAATATCCGCGGGGGGGGGGGGGGGGGCCCGGCGTGCACCCGCCTCCTGACCTTCGAGGTCGTGACTAGCGAGCGCAGCTACATCAACCTTGGGCAACGAGATGCAGCCGCGTGCGGCATTCTGGCACTGTCCTGAGCATGCTCAGTCGAGTCCTGACCCACTTTGCAGGTCCGAGCTCTGGGCAGGGGGTCGGAGGTGCTACTTTGTTTCGTTCGCCAAGGACAGAGTGAAGAAGGAGGGAGATTGAGAGTTGCTTAAAGACGCCTCTCTCCTGTCAGCAGTCCCTGACCCGGCGGCGGAACATGCCCAGTCTGGCTACAAGAGCCACGGGGAACGTCAGTGTTGAAAATCCACCTCCCCTAGTTTTCGCGGTAGCCGAAGGAGAAGGGGGCGGTACTGGAGTAAAAGGATCGAGGTGAGGCGTGGCCAAGGGGGCGGGCCGAAAGGAGCCGGGGAGGCGGAGCCTGGCCCAGCCCCCAGAAATTGTCTCCCTCAAGTCTAAAAAGAAAACGAGGAGGGCGGGGGGCGCTGCCTACGTCGCAGGGTTGTGCTGCTGAAGTTCTGCAGGCGTTACTCACAAATAATTTTAGAATAACATACCTTCTTTAAAAAGCACCATATCGTTCATTAGAGAAAACATAGAAACCTACAAATAATCGAAAATGAGGAACATTTAAAATCCCTGGAACCCCACCTCTCAGAAGCCACCAGTGAACGTCCTGCTGTGTTTTCTTCCAGCTTCTTCAGTGTGGGCTTTAGAACTAACAGCAGAGTCACCCGGGGAGACAAGCGAAGCTTTTAATTGCAAAGTGGCTTGACAGGTGGCCTTGGAGACACGGTAAGTTCAGGGGCTGGACGTTGGCTCTCTCCGGTATCCCAGGATGGGATCCTAGGAAACCTGTTCCCGGGTGTCCCTAAACAACAAGGCGACGCGACGCTCAGAAAAGTTGCGCTGGAAGCCCTGGGAGCGCCCTGCCCCCTGACAATTATCAGTCACGCTGCCCAAGCACCACAGCGTCGGAAATAAGTGCCCTCGGCTCCAGCAACACCCAAGACGTGCTTGAGCGGGGCCCCGGGGCCGGCGGAGTCCCACCCCGGGAGGCTGCGCAAACTGAATGAGGGACTCCGCGCCCCCAGCCCGCCCCACTCCTCTGCGGGCGTGTCCCCCGGCTCCCACAGGTTCGCCCGGCGCCGCCAGCTCCGCCCCGCGCCGGTGGCTGCAGCGAAAACCCGGCGGCGACACCCCGCCTGGCCCCGTGCCTCCGCGCCGCCCGGCGAGCCGCACTGGGCATGCTCGGCACCGGCAGGCTCCGGCTCCTGTAGGTGGGAAGCTCCGCACTCTCGGCCGCCCGCGGCGCAGCCCGCATCGCTGCCAGGCGCTGGCGGAGGCGGCTCGCCTGCAGTCGGTGCTGCCGGGCGTCGGGCGCGGGGCGCGGAGCGGCGACAGCTCGCAGGCTGGCCATGGCGAGAGGCGCACGGCGGCCACCTGAGTGGGGCGGCGGCGTCAGGTTAGCAGGGGCGCCGGGACAGCATGGGGCGACTGGGCGCGGGTGGCAGGGAGCCCCGCACGGGGTGGGCGGCCGGGTCGCTGCGGACGCTGGGGCCGCGGAACTTTCGGGAGCTTAGGCTGGCGAAGCCCAAGGCGTAGGCTGCGCACTGGAGGCGCCGCGAGGTCCCAGAAGCAGGCTCCTGGGGGGTCGCAGGATGCTTCGAGATCCGTGCGGGGCGGGACCCCGGGGGCCGGTGGGTTGGGGACAGCCACCTCTTGGGCTTGTGCCATAATCTTCCTACGGTGAGGAGCGCGGTGTCTACAGTGTGCTGCCGAGGAGCCTCCCAAACCTCCGGGGCCACTGGAACGCCAAGCAGCGGCGGGGGCCTTCGCCAGACTCCAGATCGCTTGGGTCACCGTGCCTCAGTTTCCCCGGGACGGGGGTAGGGTGTACTGTCCCGTGGCCGGGAGGCCCGGAGTTTGGGTTCTGCGCCCAGAGCCGAGAGAGTGCCGCGTCCTGATGCTGCAGGAGTGCGGGAAGCTGTGGGTGCAGCAAGTCGCCGCCTCGCGACTGGAGCTCTCGGAGTTTGTCGCATTTGACTCCATAGCAAGTTGACATCGAATTGCTTCATGGCGTGGAATGGGGAAACGTGCTTCGTTGGTTTAAAAAAAAAAAAAGTAATTGCAAAGCCTATTTATTTTAAGCTCGACCATTAACTTGCCTTCGCCTCCAAAAACAACTTGAGCTTGCAAGTTGCAAGATTTATAAAGCAAGCCAGCAAAAAAGGAAGACTGTTTGTAGGTCCATTATCTGCTCACGCTGTAGAAAATAATCTATTATGGTTGAATTGTCCTTGTTTTTAAGGATACTTGGTAGCAGAAAAGTTTGGTTACAGTGGCAGTCTTTATTTTGCGTTATCTTAGCTTATATTAAGAACTTGGAAATCTAGCGTTGGAGAAGCTCAGTGTTTTTTGTAAAGGTTTCTCACTTTTGCTTCTAGATGAAACACATTTTTTTTTTCAGTTGCTACTATGCTGAACATAGTAAGATTGTTCAGGATGAAATGAAAGATGGAAAAAGATTTATATTAGGAAAAGAGAACGTTAGAACGATGCAGTTCTACTGGCATTTTACAGAAAAATGCGGTTTGTAGATCCCACTGGAGTTTCTACTGTTGGTTCTTCCTAAAACAGTTGGTACCATTACCACTCTTTGGATTATTGGATTTAATAGGAGCAAGGTAAACAATTCTTGTTCTAGTGGGAACCAGTTCTACCTCTAAGGCTATATTCTCAAGCCTGTTTCCATAAGTACCACTTAGTAGGTCAGTTGTTTTCTTTATTAAGCTTATTATAAAATTTGTTTGCATTCTTGACAGACCTTAATATGCTTTGGAGGTGCATTGACTTTTCATTGGTTTGTGAATAGCCTTTAATGTTTGTTTTGGCCTGAGATGGCTCCAGCTCTAATTCCAGATACTCTGAGTGATTTCCCCAATGGGCTTTATGCTTTTGCCTATACATAAGCAAGATTTAAGAACAGGGAAGGCTTGAAATGTCCAGACAACAACAATAGCAATATGATTAGTATTTCTACCAATTTCCTCCATTTTAGCCAAAGAGTTTGGCTGGTGGTGTTCATTGCTCCTAAATGTACTTCTAAATACATTCATAGAAAAATTTAGAAGTTTGAAAGAAAACAGCGCAAATATTGAGAATTATACTTCCCTTTTCTATAAAAATGCATCACATTTAAAGTCTGCCATGAAGTACTGAGTATATGTGCAACTCACCCAGTACACAGGTCGTGTTCTCTGGCTGCATTCCCCAATGGAAGTCGGTCATGTCTCCCCTTAGCCTTGGGCTCTTCTTGACCTAGAGGAAGCAGCAAGGTTTTAGTTTTCCTCTTGGTGAATGTAAGCTCTAATGCAGATCAGTAGGACTCTTCTGGATCCAAACATCTCATTTTTTCAAGGTTAGAAAAAACAATGAAATTTAACAAGAGGCACGTTGAAACACTGCTTCTGGCTTCAGGGATTCCACCAGAGGACGGAGTCCCCTAAACTAAAATGAACACAGCTGACAGGAGTTAGGTTGAAGAGGGGTCTTATTAACGAAGAAAATGAAGGGTTTTACTAATGAAGAAAAAATAGGAGGGTAGACTTTGTATCCCAATCAGGAAACAGGTGATAATTGCTTCTTTTTTGTCCCTGTTGGGTTCTTCCAGCTAAACTGTTAGGCACGTCATTTTTCATTTTATTTCCATGTCTTCAGATTTCTATACTGTACTGTGTTGTTAGTGACATTGGAGATTCACAGCAAACTATTGGCCTTTAAAAATAGATATCCCACTCCCCTCCTTCCCACCCCCCCAGTTGGTTCAGTCGGTTAGGCATCCGACTTCGGCTCAGGTCATGATCTCACCGTTTGTGGGTTCGAGCCCTGCATCGGGCTCAGTGCTAACAGCTCGGAGCCTGGAGCCTGCTTCGGATTCTGTGTCTCCCTCTCTCTCTGCTCCTCCCCATTCACGCTCTCTGTCTCTCAAAAAATAAATAAAACATTTTAAAAAAATAGATATCCCCCCATTCGTGTGACCATAATTTATTCAACCTCTCATTTGGCTTGCAATTTAAATAAATGAGGCTATTTCAACTTTGCTTAATTGGAGCTTTTTGTTCTTTTTTTTTTAATGCAAGAGCTTCCAGATACTGAAATACCAAATAAATATTGTGGCAAAGTTGCTTTTAACCTCCAACGTAGTACAGTCAGGTTTGTTAGACGAGTGTCATTTTTTTGGAATTCAGAAATCACTCGGATAGCATCACTTCCCTAACCTGACCAAGCACTGGGGGTGCAGCTTGCCCTTTTCCAACCATGCCCAGGAAGACACTAAAAATTTAACATTTTGTGATCCATGTCAATTCACATTAAAGTTAGAAATATCCCTAGATGCAAATGGTTTAAGTTTGCTACAGTGCCTCCCTGGAATGGTTAAAGGATTAAGGGGTTTGGTTGATGATGTGATAAGACCCAGTTCAGAGCTGTCAGAACTAGTTTCTAAGCTGTACTCCAAACATACTGTCTTGCCTCTGCCTCCACCCAAGGTCTTCACTCATTAAAATATAACATTCATTTTTCTTCCCCACAGCCTTTAATAGGTAGGCCCCGGGAGCTGCAGAAACAAATAAGACTTAGTGACTCAGAATCTAGTCAGAGACACATACTGGAGGACAAATAAACTCTAGAGTGAGGTAAGTGCTTCAGGAAGAGGTATTTGTACATGCGACTGAGGAGACCAGAGAAATGAGCCTCTTGGGTTGGAGGAAGAGAGGCCCCCATGAAAATAGTGACATTTCCACAGGAGCTTAAGGAATTCCTGAGGAATTTGGGTGGAAGTCTTCTAAGCAGACTCATGAACTCTACAGGCAGAAGGAATACCAGTATGGTAATTAGAATAATGCCCCCCACCCCAAGCTGTCCACTCTGGGACCTTGCAGATGTGATTAAGTTGAAGCTTTTGAGATGGAGAGATTATCTGGATTATTCGGGAGGCCCAGTGTAATCACAAGAGTCTGTATGGGTGGAAGAGGAAAGCAGAAGTCAGTGTCAGAGGGATGCCATGTGCAAAAGATTTGACTGGCCATTACTGGCTTTCAAGGTGCAAGGGAACCACAAATCAAGAATTCAGCCACCCTCTAAAAGCTGGCAAAGGCAAGGAAACAGATGCTGTTCTAAGGCTTCCAGAACCCAGCCCTGCCAACTCTCTGATTAGCCTAGTAGGATCCATCTTGAACTTTTAACCCACATAATTGAAAGGTAATACATTTGTATGTTACAGTCACCAAGTTTATTTATAACTTAGTGTCATAGAAAAGAAGAAGACTTGGTATGATGGAATAATGAACAGAGGCAGGAGAAGGAGAATGTAATGGTCCTTTCGTGGTGAAGTTGATGCCATGCAGGGGAGTTTGGATTTTATCCTATTACATACAGATAAACAATGGGACACCAGCTAAGCATTTTTAAACAGGAACATGCGGGGCGCCTGGGTGGCGCAGTCGGTTAAGCGTCCGACTTCAGCCAGGTCACGATCTCGCGCTCCGTGAGTTCGAGCCCGCGTCAGGCTCTGGGCTGATGGCTCAGAGCCTGGAGCCTGTTTCTGATTCTGTGTCTCCCTCTCTCTCTGCCCCTCCCCCGTTCATGCTCTGTCTCTCTCTGTCCCAAAAATAAATAAACGTTGAAAAAAAAAATTAAAAAAATAAATAAATAAATAAAAAATAAACAGGAACATGCAAGAACAGACTACTGCCAGATTTATCTTCCTAAAAAAGCAATGTATGGCTAAACCCCGAGTTTCATACAGCCGTTTAACAAAGGTGTCTAGCCAGAGGTGGTCAGTGACAGATATCGGGAAGTAGCGTGTTCTGTAATTCACTTCTCTGAATTGACCTACAATGGCGTGTGTGTGTGTGTGTGTGTGAAATCATTAGCTTAAGAAACTTTCGTTCAGTCTGTGATGGAAGGTCCTAAAGGTAAAAAGCAGAAGGGCTAAGTCACATTTTAACTACTTTGTTTCCGCCCATTTTCCTCTTAGCAGACCGCTGCTCTGCTGGCTGTGTACCATGCAGACACCAACAGAGGACTAGGAAAGCTCAAGTCTAATGCAGTGAACTTGAGATGATGTACTGTCTCAAGTCACCTGGGCCAGCTCTGACCAGTTGCTAGTAGCTTGTGGGGTGTTGTGGGCTTTTGCAGGCTTAGCGGGAAAATGGCCATGTTTGGCCATGTTTCGCAGTGTTTGCCATGGGCTCCATATTGGCCAGGGTATGGATGATAGTATGATCCTAGATGACCGAACTTCTGTGTTAAAAATATAAGAAATTCAGTCATTCCTTCCAAGCATATTTATTTATTCACTCTCTCTTAAGTACAAGGGCTTAATTTCTGTCGTATAAAAACTTCTAGTCTGATTCAGTTGACATCTCTATGTGTCTAGAAAACCTAAACTGAAGAAATCCA